GGGGGGGGGGAGAGAGAGAGAGAGGAACATCAATGATGAAAGTGAATCCTTGATGGGCTGCCTCCTGCATGCCCCACACTGGGGATCCAGCCTGCAACCTGAGCATGTGCCCTGACTGGGAATCGAACCACAACCTCCTGGTTCATAGGTCAATGCTCAGCCGCTGAGCCATCCTGTCTTAAAAGCAAGTCCAGGCTCAGGGAAGGAGTACACTTTTTGGAAGATAACTCTGAAGCCCAGTCGAGCCTAGCACTAGAGAATCAATTGGCTAACTTAGTGGTCGGCAAACCGAGGCTCGTGAGCCACATGCGGCTCATGGCTCATTTGCCGCGCTGCTGCCTAATGAGTTTGCCGACCACTGGACTAGCCTAAATGTTACTGTGGAGTTGGAAGCTGTGAGGATTAGACGATGTGGCATACAGTGTGCAAAGAGGTAAAGGGTAGTATGTGACAGTGGTTGGCAAACTCATTGGTCAACAGAGTGGCTTGCCAACCACTGGGCTAACTAAGCAAAGAACCAGACTCGATGTAGGAGCTGGGGCAGGCCCAAGGACACCACAAGAAATCAGCTCAGATAATGCTGCACTTGGTGAGCCAAATGTGTACATGAAACCCACTTTCTCTCTACCTTCTGCTGCCCCTGGTGAAGCCACAGCTGGGGGGCTGGAGCGCCCACAAGGACAGAAGTACGCTGCTGGAAGATTTGATGCTATCAGCACATCTTTTTTTTTTTTTTTTTTTTTAAATATATTTTATTGATTTTTTACAGAGAGGAAGGGAGAGAGCTAGAAACGTCGATGAGAGAGAAACATCAACCAGCTGCCTCTTGTACACCCCCTACCGGGGATGTGCCCGCAACCAATGTACATGCCCTTGATGGGAATCGAACCTGGAATCTTTCAGTCCACAGACCGACGCTCTACCACTAAGCCAAACCGGCTTCGGCATATCAGCACATCTTAATGTGATCAAATCAGAGTTTAAAACACGCAGCAGAAGGGAAGGGGAGCGGTGAGCTCTGCGGAGAAACGATTATGGAGCGGACCGCGTTCCCGCCTCTCTGGGCCTTGGCTCTCCCCACACGTGTAGTTTGCTGTGTAGTTTGCTGGACCCCTTAGTATTCCGTTCCAATACCCTGGGAGACATTAATGAAAATAAAGCCCCGCAGAAGAGCAAGGCTTATTCATGACTCTGGGACCATCAGCCCTCCCCAGCTGTGGGGGCAGACGTTGGCCCGGCCCCTTCATCACGCACCTGCCATGTTGTGTGAACACGTCACACCCACAGCCTGCCTGATTAATCACCAGCCCAGGAACCCACAGAGCAGAGTTCACGTGACACTGGGAGGTGCAGGAAGGGCCCTCGAGGTTGGCATGGGAGACCAAACACAATGAACTAAATAGTGGATATGGGTAGCAACTGAATGATTCAGTTGCTACCCATATCCACTATTTAGTTCATCCATCATCCCATAATCTGCTTCCAGCCCCATAATCCCCCAAATCCACACCGCACATACCGAGGCCGTTCCTCTGCACACGGACCCAAACGGTCCAAGTACCAGAGGTTCCCAGCCCTCCCTCCGTCCAAGAAAATCATGAACCTTTTCTACTAGTCAAACAGCCCTGGGGCTGCAGACAGCTGCCCACACCAAGCCTCTAAGGACTTGGAAGTTTTAATAATTCTATCGTAAGTGTTTCTTCACACCTCATAAAAATAAAATTTAATTTGACCGACACTGTTAACTCCCCAGCTATGTACTCATTTGTTTAAATCGGGTAAAGGAGACAGCTATCCTTATACTAAACCGCTTCACAATTAGTTTCAGAAAAATGTTTCAAAAAAAATTAAAAAAAAAAAAAAGAATCGGGTAAAATTCGGTGCACTCAAAATTATAAGATATGTACAGTAGGTCCTCAGGTTACGTCAGAGATCCATTCCTACCCGAGATATAATGTGATTTTTGCCGTAAGTCGGAACCCACCTACATAAGCACCTACGTCATTCACATGGAGCACACACAGCAGTAATGAAGTGACACAGTAGAAAAAATGTAAAAGAAAGGTAACAATTCCTGACCGTTACTTGTGGTAAATAAAAAATAAAAAACATACAGCAAGTATGTACATCCATTGAAATGACAGAACTTTGTTTTTTGTTGTTGTTGTTTTTTTATAAATAAATGGGAGATGGTGATGTAACCACAAAACAACGTACATCAAGTCCGATGTAACCCGAGGACGCCGGTTGTGTATTTTATGTTTCCATGGGATTACTTCTCTTACCAATTTCAGAACATAGGATGACTATCTCATGAGAAGTATCCCATGATCCCACTGAGGAGAAAAGGAGATGCAGAATCCCGAGGGGGGGACTATGAGGTCACACAGCCCAGGCCAGGGCTGGGCGGAGAGAAGTCCAGGTCACGCTGATATCATTTTCAAGATTTTACCCTAAAAACATTCTAATTCTCTCAATACTGTAAAGATTTCACCACAAGGTTATTGTATGCGATAAGTCCCCTAATTCAAATATGTCACAAAGATTTGCATTGTCAGTCATGTGACTACTACCACTGGATTTGCTCATTTCAAAGCGTACATTCTTAGACTCCTACAGAAGACAACCAGGATATTTCATAGCCTCGTCACTCACACTGCTGTTGTCAGGAGAGAAGAGGTTCAAAGGAAAACTGACCTGGTTTAGGAGCAAGGATTAAAGGGAAGGGGGACAGATGCTTCCCTTTGAAAAATTCAGACATTAGGCTCAGGTCTGGGAACTAATAATGTCCACATTAATTGTTCAAGAGCGACACCCCAAAACATCCATTACTCTTAGGAACATCGGGAGTGATTACTAAGTAAAAAGAAGGAGGAAAATATTACTGTGGTTTGTGGGCCAGTAGGATTTGAAGTATCAAGACTTGAATGCCTCCAATAATACCAAATGAGTACTGGGGACCACAAAAGAACCTGCCTGTGTGATTTCATGTACCCCGTCCACCTGCTCCTGAGGTTTTCTGGGCCCGTGGCAGACGGCGAAGCTGGGCTTGGGAAAGGTCCTTGCTGAGACCACAGTCTCGTTGCGTGACAGAGCTGAGAGCTGGAGCCATCCCAAAGAGTCGGCTGACACTCAGGCATCTGAAACATGTCAGCATTCCGATCCCTCTCAGAAGTCAACGTTTTTGAGTTTGTTTTTTTTTTTTTGCATCATTCTTGTAACATGAAAATGTGAAGTTATTTCAAAAGTTAAGAAGTTAACCTGGGATTATTACCCATTGCTTCTAGCAGGAAAACAGGAACTAGTTTCCACTCAGGGGCGAGGAGGGGATGCGTTGCCATCAAGGCGTGGGAAGCTCGGGTGCTGCTGAGACAGGCTTCGGGGGAAGGTGGAGGGGAAAGTGCTGTGTGGTCATGACCTAGACCTCAGGGCCTCCTCTGGACGGTGTGAAGGCAGCGTGAGTCCCCCACCCCCAAACCTGGGGGCAGTGCGTCTGCTTGGAACCCACAGAAAGGCTAGAAAACCATCGGCGGAGAAGAGGGAAGAAACGTCTCCACGCCGGTGCTGGATGCCAGCTGTGTTATGTACCAGGCAGCTACCCAAAGCCACAGGGCTCACTTACCGAGTAAAGCAAAGAAAAGGACAGAAGAGAAGATTGAGGGAAACTGTCAACCGAACGAAGTAATCAAATCCTGGCCATTCACACACCTGCTGAAATGCGAGACACGAACCAAGTCCCTTTTGAGGAGCCTGGATGAATTCTTGTCTAAGCGCAGAGGGTCATGTTCTCCAAAAAGAAGGCCAGCTGCCTAGGAAGTGCTTCACCCACATAACTCTGCACAGCGAGTCCCCAAGGACGCCCCACCTAACGTAATCTACGAGGACGAGCGAAGCCACTGGCCTGAGATGCTCACCCTCACCCTGCCCCTGCCCCTGCCCCTGCCCCTGCCCCTGCCCCTGCCTCTGTCATTTGAGGGGGAAGTAGGTCTGTTCTGTTTTCCAGAAAACTCAAATCTCCAAGTGAAGCAAAGCTTCTCAGGCTCTGAACAATCAAACAGGCCCCTCTTCTCCAGCCTTCTCATTGTTTCACCCCAAGGAGAGCGATCTACGTGGAGAATTTATTTTCAGGGCAGAAACATTTTCTGACACTGCATCTGTCCCAAAGGATCCTGGAGGCCGCACACCGGGGCATGGCGTGAGCAAGGAGGCAGCAGGCTCTCGGGCTGCCGTCCTCTCGCCACGGGACCCTGGCCGAGCCCCTCTGCTTAAATCCAAGGGAGCAGAAGGCCAAGGAAGAAGGTCTGCGCGCCTCAACCCCGCGCTTCCTGTGGCGCACACCACCCCATGGGGGAAGCAGAGCGATGCTCTCCAGTCTCCCAGAGGCCAGCGGTGCAGGGACACCCTTCACCTCCCCTCGGGGACCTCCTGCACTTGAGGGAATGCCTTGAGTGGCTGCATCCCAACTGCCACCATCCCGACCAAAAGCCAGCCCGAGCCTGGCACAGGGAGAGGGGCAATCATGTCCTCAGACGGTGAACCTCTAGGTCACGAACGCTGGAGAGCGTCCAAATGTCCTCACTGTTTAGACAATGACACAGGGGTTTCTGAGAGTTTCCATCAAAAGCATCCGAGTGCTTTCTACTTTTTAAATAAAATAAAATTAAAACTGGTTTCCAATGACTCAGCGATGTTACTTATATCAGTGTGATCACGCTGTATAAAGATTTAGTCCTCTGGGGGCGGGGAAAAAAAAAGAAGGAACAGAGCACACGTTTGGCCACAGATGGGAGAAAACCAGCCGCAGTGATGAGTGCACGGAGGCGGCGCGCCGTCACACGCGGAGCAGGATGTGAGATCGGAAGGCATGTGGGGGGAGCTCAGACCATATGTCGTGCGGCTGCTGCGGGCCCGCTCCCATGTCAGGAGCAGCGTGCTCCTCCCCGACACCCGCCGTCCCCCTCGGACACCGGCGCGCTCCGCCAGGCCCGCGGGACGCTTACCAGGTACTGGAGCCGCTGGCGCTCCGTCTCAGGGGTGAATTCCGAAGACATGGGGATGATTTCTCCGTTTCTGACGATGATGGCCCTGCAACGGTGAAAGCGTACGGTCAGCAGCCGGCCTCCCAGGTGCCCCGGTTCTGTGTCCCCTCCCAGCTGAGAACACGCATCAAATGCCAGCGGCAGACTTTCTCCTCTACCTCCCCCCCCCCCCCCCCCCCCGCCCCCGGCAAGGTTCCTCGTGACCAACTCCCCCCGCATACAGCGGCACGGCAGGCGTCACACTCCAGTGAGCGTGTGTGCCCCTTGTCTGCTCGCTGGACCCACACCTGAATGCCCAGCTCCGGGACTCACCGCCTAGGAGATGCTCATTGAATACAGGGGGGCGAGCATGGGTGATGCAACAGGGGCTCAGGATAGACGAGCATTCTCCCACGGAAATTTCTGGGACAACGGGAATGTTATCATCTGGGCAGCCCTACCTGGCCGCGAGTGACATGGGGTACTGAGCGTTTGAGCTGTGGTCAGTGCCGCCGAGAAATGGAATTATTTTATTTGAATTAATTTAGCTTTAAGTTCACGCAGTGACAGTGGCCAGTGTGTAATGCAGTCGACAGCACAGCTCTAGATCCCGGCTGCTCCGTGTCTGCGAGCCAGGAGCACCGGCCTCACCTTGGAACTTGCTAGAAATACAGACTCCCAGGTGCTGCCCTGGACTTACTGTATAGAATATGCATCGTGGCGAGATCCCAGCGACCCACAGGCTCATCGAGACTCTGAAAACACCCCAGATGTGAAGCTCCCGAGTTTCAGGGTGACATCCTGGGCCCAGGAAAATCCACTCTCATGCCGAGTGCAAGTTCAGTAAATTCATACCCGCTCCCCCCACCCCCGCCCCAAAATGTATCCAAGAGCTACTGCTGATGCCGGGACTTTGAGAGAACAGAGCTCCTCAGAGCAGATGTCTTGAGGAGGGGCTGCAGGCCCATAACCGCGGAGCCGCCTCTCCGAGGCCCATTCCTGACGGAGCCTCCGGGGCTCAGACCCCGTTCTGAGGTGTCCCCGACAGCCACTTCCCAGTGACCGTTCTGGTGGGACGCTGCCATCCGATGACAAATGGAAATGGCTTGGGAACTGCATCCTGTCCAAACCCAAAGCTCCCTGTTAGCAGGCGGCCAGAGAGAAGGCCTGGCACCTCCCCTGGGAAGGCCACAGGCAGACACTAAGGCCTGTGGACACACCCGAGGCCCGAGGAGCCCCGGACAGGATAGGACAGGACGTGCCGTTGCCGACTTTAGCTCCAGAAAACGCCTCCACGTTGGCTCTGGGGAGGCCACGTTCTTTGTGCCAAGAAGGCCTGGCACCGCTCCCTCCCCTCCAGAGGCTGTTCCCAAACTTAGAAGCGGCCCCTACAAATGGCCGCAGCTGTGGCTACCCCCGCCCCAACCCCTTCTCACCTGTGCCCAGTGGCTGCTGTCATAGAAACCAGTGGAGGGGGGCAGGCGAGGGAGGAGAGGACAATACAAAGCTTGGGGGGCTTTAGAGAATTTCTGACACTGTGAAAAAAATGGAGACACTGAAGGGGCTGGCTCTGCGAAGGGGATGCCTCGGCCTTTGGTATTTGCATCACTCCTTATATTATGCTGCCAGAAGCAGGACACGTTAAAGAGCCCTTCTTATAGACCTGGGCCACTTGTAAAACGCAATCTCACCCCCAACCCCCAAGCGGCACCCACTATTCGCAAACCAGGGTGAGCCCATTCAAGCGGCCTTTGTCCTCATCACCTGTGGAGAGTAACTACAGTCGGGGAGCAGGGAGTCTGACTGGGTGGAGAGACTGGAAGGGAAGGTGTAGGTTTGGGCCTCCACTGAAAGTCGCACAAAGCGCCGTGAGAACTTGGGGAACTAGAGCGAAAGTCCTTACGCAGTCAGTGCCAAAGGCAGCCTTCTGTTTCAAAACGCTGCTTAAAAATAGTCTTAACTCTTTCTCGTCCCTTTCTCTCCGTGGCCTCTGGATCCCAGCTTCCAGGCTCAAACTAGGAAAGGCGGGCGTTCGGGAAGGAAGGAAAGGATACTGTGAATCAGAGCTGGCATGTGCCAGCTTCGCCCTACACGTGCCTTTGGCTCTGGGACCCGAGTTCTCGCCTATGAAGAGAAGGGGGATGGGGGGACCAGGTTATTTCTCAGGTAGCTTTCGGTCTACATTTCAATGGTTCTGAAAAGAGGCCCGACACACATGGGGGAGAAATACGGGTGACTACAGTGACTTCTGTTCTTCTCAGGAGGTGGCAGTCACCACTACGTGGGTTCTACTAAACAGACAGCAAGACAGGAGCGCCTGGAGGGAGCAGTCACCTCAGGGCCTCTCATCAGTCCTGGGGGACCTGGAGCCCATGACGAGGAAGCCCCTCCGTGTGATGTGTCTGTGACACCCATCCTCTTGGAACAGGGCTGCACACAAAAGCCACGCTGACACCGTGGCGCATATTCACGGGACACCCTGATTCCGTTACACACTAGTCAGCTGCCAGCAATTCCAAACGTGACGTGAAACCACACGTTTCCAGAGCAGAGGAGGAGATCCGGGGCGAGGTGACAGAAGAGGGACTGGTGGAAAGCCCTTTCTGACAGAGGGGGTGCCAGTTCTAAAGTACAAGGTACGGGGTATGCACTTTGTCAGTCCTCATCAGACCTCGAGAATTCTGTCTGGATGCTGCAGGCGTGTCTGTCTCCTTCAAAGGTATTGGAAATGTGTTGATGGAGAAGGAAGCAGGGGAGCTGAGGGACAAGCCAGGGTGACCAGCATCCAAGGACAGCTGGGCTGGTGATGCCACTTAGAGGTGTCCAAAAATAGCGGAAGGAGGAAAACGAACCCCAGGAGCCTGGATTTATTTTGGGTGTGTTTCTAGTCATTCCATTTTCAGAACATCCGAGAAAAACGTTTGCCAATAAGGTGAATCATGGAACAGGACCTCAAATGCATAATTAAATTTCTTAGCAAAAACATTCACACACAGAATGGTCAGAAAGCACACACAACACACTCGCGGATCTCTAAGTGGCAGCAAAAACAAGCGACCACTCGTGGAGCATGAACTGAGTCAGATGTTCCCATTTTCTTCACAACCAGCCCACTCCGTCCTCACTCCACCCACAGTCCTTTCTCAATGTCAGAATCCAGCCGCTTTCTACCAACATCTTGCTATACCAGCACCCTATTTTCCAGGCCAGGTAAAAGCCTCATAGACATTAAAGAAAACTTTTTGAGGTACAAATTATTATTATTATTTTTTAAAGGTAAGGGATCCGTCTATAAATTAACACTGGTGATGTTTGTCCTATTATCTTTTTAAAAATATAATAACGTTCCATAGAATTTTAAAGTATATAATTCAGCATTGTGTTTTCTTTTCAGTATAGTTACAAGGTTGTTCAACCATCACCACTACCTAATACCAGGACAATTTCATCACCTCAAAAAAAAAAAAAAAAAAATCCCAGGGTCCCTCAACAGTCACCCCATTCCCCTCTTACCCACGAGCCCCTGGCAACAACGAATATGCTTCCTGTCGCTATGGATTTGCTTATTCTGGACATGTCACATCAATGAGATCACAGGTGGCCTTGTGTGTCTGGCTCCTTTCACTCGCCACAATGGTTTCGAGGTCTCCCCTTATTGCAGCACGCATCAGCACCTCATTCTTTTTGCTGGCTACGTGAACAGTCCGCTGTATGGACATACCACACTGTGCCAGCTGATGAACATGTGGGCTGTTTCCACTATTTGGCTACCGCGAATAATAATGCTGCTATAAACATTGAGGTCCATTTTTGCTTTTTTGAGAATATATGTTTTTCATTCTCTTGGCTACATATATGTACACCTAGGAACGAGTTTTCTGAGTGACATGCTAACTCCAAGTTTAACCTTTCGAGGGACTGCTGATGGATGTTCCAGAGTGGCTGTATCATTTTACACTCCCAACGGGTGGGTTTTAAAGCTTCTTCTTACAGGACCACAGACTTCACTGTCTTATTTTTGGGGAAACAGGGTAGAAGCATGGAACAGACTAAAGAATTTCAGAGGAAAGTTGGGGGTAGTGGGTAGAGATTAACCAAATAACTTGCATGCATATATGCATGACCCATGGACTTGGTGATGGCCAGGGAGAGGTGGGTGCAGGGTGGAAGGGGTCAATGGGCAAGCAAACAAACAAACAAACAATCCCACAAACAAACGGGACATCTGTAATACTTTCAACAATAAAGATAAATTTTAAAAAAGACATGCTGATTTCCCATTGCCACTTCAGTCATGTGTTCAGATTCCCCCAGAATTCCACAGAGAAGAGGGAAACTGACAGTGTAGTATCGGAGCATTCCTTCTTCTCTTGATCACTAGCTTCAAAGCCCTGTTCATTAGGATTAATGCCATAACCTCAACATTTCCCCACACATCTCTGTAATTCAAGATTTTATTTTGACAAACAAGTATAGGAAATCCCCTTACTATGCAAAAATTCTACTGAACCCTTAATATACCTGAAGTTATTGCAATTGTCCAAGTGAACAATGAGCGTCTGGACTATGTCTATGGAAGCAGGTAGGAGAGTCTAAGAAATGAAATGCATTAACATTTTTTTATTCTATGTGTATTTACCACGTGCACATAATTTAAAAGTATATTCTGCCAAGTAAAGAAATGAGAAGGTCTGGGAACCTGCTGAGGTCCCCAGCCTGTCAGTGTGGGATGATGGTGCTACCAACAACAGGAGTGACGGGAAGAGAAGCTCGTCTGGGGGAGGTGACGTTGGGCATGCTGAATTCGAGGTTGGTGGGTACAGAGAGGGAGGTGTGAGTGCGGTGCTGTGGGATGAGGTCAGAAACACAGACCTTCCCTGGCCAGCTTGCTCAGTTGCTTGGAGCATCATCCCGCACACCAAGGGTCACCAGCTTGATTCCTGGTCAGGTTGCAGGTCTGGTCCCCAGTTGAGATGGGTACCGAAGGCAACTGATTGATGTTTCTCTCTTTCTTTCTCTCTCTCTCTCTCTCTCTCTCTCTCTCTCTCCTCTCTCTCTTCAATAAAA